AAGCTATTGCAAGAGCTTACTCTGGGGAGTAAGTGATTATAGCAATCCCCAGAGTGTAGGTATCCCTTCCCCCAAACATGAGCCAAGGCTTCAAGAAAGGTACAAGATGATCTGGTTTTAATGACCACACACTGGCTTTTATGCAAGTCCCCATGCAAGGGGACATCCCACAGGGGAGGGGGGGACAATACAAACAATACACTCCCACAGTGACATCACAATCCCTCCTCTCTATCCTGGAGATAATTGGGAAGTAATCAAATTATCTCCCAGGACAGAGGCAAGACTCCATTAACCACATGGTAAGAAAAAGACATAAAATTACACAATGTTACAATTACTACATAAAACATATACCTGCAACATATCCCCAGATAGCTTAGATCTGAGTGCACATTATTATTGAATGGCGCTCAGATCACATACATAAGTCAATCGCCATGGAGCCAAAGTCTTTTCCATAGTCTTTTGTTACAGGAGTAGGCTCCATGGCATAGCTATCTGGGATAGCACTACTACCATACTGAAAGTCCAGAACGCCCCAGCAGAAATACCCAAATAAACCTTATTGCAGGGGAAAATACAGCTATCAGCACAGGGGCCATAGTCAGAAGGCAGGAGGCTAGCCAGTACTCCCCTCCAGGCACAAGTGGCGAAGGGCACTTCGTCACACAGAGTATACTGCCAGTCTATAGTAAATACTATACAGTGCATAGTATTGTGACAGAGCGTATAATACACAGTGCAGAGTATACTACTAGCCCACAGTAAATACTACACATTGTGCGCCATAACACATACACTACTTCCCCATAACATACAGCTAACCCATGACACTCGCTACCTTCCACTGCTTAACGACACTCGCTATGTTCCGCTGCAACACTTACTCCTTTATACACTGCACAGCACTACCCCATAGAAAACACCACACCACATAAACACCCTCTATACAAAGCAACTCTGTAGCAACTGCTGCTCCCTAACACACACTGCGCTACCACCCAATAAATCACACACCCACATACTACACTGCATTACTAACACACTACTACTCCATATCTCACACACTGCACTTCTACCCCATAAATCTCACATACTACACTGCTACTGTATTACTAACACACTGCACTACTACCCCATAAATCTCAAAAAGTATTCTCCAACTCCGTTTCGTACATATGCCTGTTTTGGTATATATATATATATATATATATTTACATTAAAAATAATCTAATCCTATACCTTTCCTTAGCGTGCGCCGAAGAAGGGCCAATCACATCTCAGAGGCAGAACCAGTGGGCTGATATTACAGTACTTTAACACCCGCAGACCTCCTTAAATAGTGGCGCATGATGATGAAGGAAAGTGCTCCATAACTGCAGTTAGAGAATTTATCACTATGGTAAAAAGCACCATAACCACCACAGCCAACTGTAGTGGTTTTGTTGCCTGCATTGACGCCGCCCATGGTAAGGTGTCGAGTGGTTTCAGCACTGTTTGACATCTTACTTGGCCTCCGCTGGGCGCCCGTGTCACCTCCGCTGCATACAGTCTGTTCCAGGACGGCACTCGTTGGCTTCCTTAGAGAATCAGCGGAACGACTTTGCTTGCAGAGACAGCTGACTATGGGACAGCATCTGCGAACTCCTGGCACCATAACCACTACAGCAGTTCTAAGTATTTTCTAGTTTAGAATATAAAAAGGTGACCAGTGTATTCGTTTTATCAATAAAATATCTGTTTGTGTGTTGATTTCCTTTTAATTGACTGTTTCTGCCCGTTTTTAGAATGGTATTGCTGTGAAGACATTGCAGGCCTTACCGCTGACTGCAGAGGTCAAATCAAAGTTGCCCAGAAACCAAAGCCTATTCGTGGAGCTTGTAATTAACACTAACAATGGTGGTCTTGGAAAAGGATCTGACTTCCGACACGATCTTAAATCACGCTCTAGAAATCATTTGCCTGTTATCTGGAGAGGTGAGCTATGCTTTCAGAACACGTTGTAAATGAAAGTAGCGTTCTTAGTCTGTATGAAGAATGTTCTCGAAGTGAAAGCCCATGAATGGATTTTAGATGTTCCACCAGCCGTCGCAGGATTCACCTCTGGTTTTAGTCTGTGATTTAAAAAGCTTTTCCAATGATTTATCTACAGAAGTCACCAACATCTAGGGTGTAGGTAAACCATTTGGAAAGTTTATCTGACCGCATTGAATCCGTTGGAGGAGTGGGGGGGGCAGTCTCGCCTGTCCTGGATGTGGAATATTCTCTTTTCTGGTTGGATTTAATGCACTAGAATATACAGGACTTACCAGTCCTACTTCCAGAGCACAAATCTCTGCAAAGGGTTATTCACCAACGTGAGAATTCAAATTGAAATTTACATTGCGGACTTGGACGATTCATTGGCTGTTTTCATCTTAAATGTGAAATTGCCATTGAATTCTCAGTTTAGAGACTACTCCAAGCACCATAACCACTTCAGTGGTCGATATCAAACACTGCACATATATTGAATTTTTTTTAACCCCTTCACTGCCAGAGAGTTCTAGCTAATGTCATGTCAATTCTGTGCAACTTTTATTGCACAGAATGTCAGATATTCTGAGTGCGGTCAGCTGACACTCTCAGCCAATGAATGGCTATGGCTCCTGCATGTCTGTAGACCACCAGGGAGGCTCTTCTAAACCTTTTTAGCTGTGAAAGTGTTTTGTTTTACATCCCTTCTCCTGTTAGTTTCTCTCTTTGCTTGATCCATAGGATTATATTCTTGTTAAAAGGCAGGCCGAAGATACCCTGTGCAGCAATGGTACTGCCACGGGAGAATCCCCTCGCAGGTCACAAGATCAATCAATGGAACATTTGATACCCATAGGCCAGTCCCCAGAAGCTGGGAATAAGAGCTTGGTAGCCATGAAGATCCTTGAACTTGCCAACAAGATTGTTCAGCTGTTGACCAAAGAGGTGAGAGACTTTGATCCATATGATCATTACTGATCCGAAGAGCAATGGAAAGATTGAGATATTCTAATTGATCAAACTTGGGGGTAATTAAATAATGCAGTTTTGAAAGTCGTTGTTTTGTATGCCTTTTTAAGGAGGTTTGACTTACTGTGGCTATAACCAGGACTAGCAGTGCGATTGGCAGGGAGCCACTGAGTGAGATCTTAGTTTTGTTTCAGGTTCCCTTGAGATGTGATGATGTCGCTGTGTATTTCTCTGTGGCGGAGTGGGACTACCTCGAACTGCATAAAGAAGAGTACACTCCTATCACAGAAGAGGAGGACCGGACCCTGAACTCACCAGGTGAAGCAATTTCCTTTTACTTGTAGCCTAATTCACTGCTGTCACATTCCCTAGAAAAATATACAGGGCTGGAAATTAAACGGACAAACTCCCCCTGCATCATTTGGTCTATGCAACGGAATTGCTGCAAACTCCTTTTATCTGTTACATTTGTGCTGTGGGTGCGGGGATTTGAGCACTGAGGTGGGGGGAGGTGGGGCAGTTCTGCTTCCATAGTTCTGTGGGATTGCCCCCCCCCCCTCCATGAGCACTGTAGGTGGGGGGAGGTGGGGCAGGGGCTCTGAGTGCAGCTCTCCTGCTTCCATAGTGGTTTGGGGATAGACCCCACCACCTACAGTGCTCAAGGTGGGCAGAGTGCAGCTCTCCTGCTTCCATATTGCTGTGGGTGTGGGGATTGCCCCCCCCTCCCCAATGAGTACTGTAGTTGGGGGGGTTTGAGAGCAGCTGTCCTGCTTCCATGAGCACTATAGGTGGGGGGGTCTGAGTGCAGTTCTGCTTCCATAGTGCTGTGGGTCCTGGGATTGCCCTCCCTCATGTGCACTGTAGGTGGGGGCTCTGAGTGCAGTTCCCCTGCTTCCATAGTGCTGAGGGTGCAGGGATTGCCCTCCCTCAGTGCACTGTAGGTGGGGGCTCTGAGTGCAGTTCCCCTGCTTCCATAGTGCTGTGGGTCCTGGGATTGCCCTCCCTCATGTGCACTGTAGGTGGGGGCTCTGAGTGCAGTTCCCCTGCTTCCATAGTGCTGAGGGTCCTGGGATTGCCCTCCCTCAGTGCACTGTAGGTGGGGGCTCTGAGTGCAGTTCCCCTGCTTCCATAGTGCTGAGGGTGCAGGGATTGCCCTCCCTCAGTGCACTGTAGGAGGGGGCTCTGAGTGCAGTTCCCCTGCTTCCATAGTGCTGAGGGTGCAGGGATTGCCCTCCCTCAGTGCACTGTAGGAGGGGGCTCTGAGTGCAGTTCCCCTGCTTCCATAGTTCTGAGGGTGCAGGGATTGCCCTCCCTCATGTGCACTGTAGGTGGGGGCTCTGAGTGCAGTTCCCCTGCTTCCATAGTGCTGAGGGTCCTGGGATTGCCCTCCCTCATGTGCACTGTAGGAGGGGGCTCTGAGTGCAGTTCCCCTGCTTCCATAGTGCTGAGGGTCCTGGGATTGCCGTCCCTCATGTGCACTGTAGGAGGGGGCTCTGAGTGCAGTTCCCCTGCTTCCATAGTGCTGTGGGTGCAGGGATTGCATGTGTACAAACTGTTCCTAACCCACTCTTGTCATTTAGAGACCCTATTAGATGGAGCCATACTGGTCAGGTAATTAACATTGAGATCAATGTGACTTGAAAACCACGAATAACAAAATCCGTTAAACTAAAGCTTTTCTTCCTACTCGCCCCCAGAGCTGCCTCTCCACCAAGCTGTGGAACCGGAACGTATTCTGCACCACCTAAAAGAGGAGCCAGACAATCCTGAATATAGCTGTGCAGGTACGGTGCCAGCGTGTGATGGTTCATTATTAATCCTATAATATAATAAAGTTACCATTTAGTAGGAAGCCGTTTCTGTTCTGTTCTGGGGGATTATTTATTATTCTATGTAAAATGAATAGATGTATATAGCAGCTCAGCGTTTCACATATCTTTGTTACCGATGTTGATCCCAAAGAAGGCGAGAAACCCAATTTGAATTTATTAAAGGGACACTCCAGGCACCCAGACCACTTCTGCCCATTGGAGTGGTCTGGGTGCCAACTCCCACTACTCTTAACCCTGCAACTGTCATTATTGCAGTGGGGTTTTTTGTTTTGTTTTTTTTTTACAAACTGCAATGATTACCTTGCAGGGTTAACTCCTCCTCAAGTGGCTGTCTACTAGACAGCCACTAGAGGGCACTTCCTCCTTCATAGCACAGAAAACCTGAGCTAGAGCGTCGCTGGACGTCCTCACGCTATGTGAGGGCCTCCAGCATCGCACAATTCCCCATAGGAAAGCGTTGTTGTTGTTATTGCCATTTTAAATAGCGCCAACAGATTCCGTAGCGCTTTACAATATTATGGGGGGGAAGGGGGATTTAACTATAAATAGGACAATTACAAAAAACTTACAGGAACAATAGGTTGAAGAGGACCCTACTCAATCGAGCTTACAGTCTATAGCATTAAAAAGCATTTCCTACGGGGAGCTCTAATGCGCATGCACGGCCTTGCCGCGTTGTTGCTTGGTCAGTTGTGCAAGTCCTTCTCGTTTCCAGGTGTATTCGCTATAGTGAGAACCCAACGTGAATTCAAATTTAAAGTCAAAATAGTTCAACTGTAAACATTCTGTAAGTCTGCTCTGCTTTTATCTGTTATTTTAGATTTAAGTTTGAAATTCTCGTTGGATTTACCTGGAATGCTCATGTTTGTAAATAACCCAGCTGTTTTTTTTTGTTTGTTTTTGTATTTTTTTTTTACCAATTGGGGAATAAATTGCTTGTAAATTCCTCACTCCAAAATGCATAACTTTCCATTGACGTTAAATGCCGCTTGACTGCTCAGTCCCATAATGTGTCAAAAATCCCACTGCAGTGACGTTATATCCTGCTCACATGGTAGAATCCAGGAGAAACTGTAACATTGCTTCATTTCTCCTTTACTCTGTCTGCTCTCTCCATGCTGACTGAATTCCTATTCTTTATCTAATAGATGGCACCTCAGAATATGTTCCTCAAAGCTACGCTAATGAAAAGCCAAATAGAGAAGCCCATGTACCTCTCCATGAACCCGAACCTATGGTGAATTATAACTACAGTGCTCTATGTTATATTAAACCCGAGCCGATGGACCAGATTGGAACCGGTAAATTATGTAAAAGTTACCCCCACCCCTGTTTATTGCTTTTTGTTTACACCCTCAAATTTATTTTTTATTCAGCTGGCTGCGCCCCTCTACGAAACAGACTAACATCCCATTTTACCCAGACAGATGTAAGCGAAATTAAATTAATATATTGACAACACGGAACGTAGATTATGAGAAGCTGTCTCTTTCCATTGGATTAGAATATCTGCCACTCGTTTACCTAGTCCTATGTTCACACTCTATTTATCCCAGTCTGTCTTCAATCAGATTCTGTCCTTAGAACCTTACCCAGCAAGCTCAGATCATTTTTCCTGATTTGTCTACTGCATTCCACTCTGTTAGGAACACAAACCTATCTGTGTCGATATGCATCACTCGTAATGTCTTGTCATCTGCTCTCACCTGCCACACACATACTAAAGTGACTGAAATCTTTTCACATATAATATTTACACTTGTTTAATTTTCCTTTACAGATGATGTTCCCCAATATCTCCCTCTGTCAGATCAATCTGAGCTTAACTCCAATTTGGAGTTTAATATTAAGGAGGAGATGGGTGAAAGTTCAGAATCTCAAGGTAATTCATGTTTTACTTCTGCATTTCTGTCTCTGTCCTACATTCCTTCCCTCTCTCGTGGATGGTAAAAGTACCGTTTGGTGATGCATTGCCGTAAAGGAAAATATTTTTTCTTTTTCAAACACTGTATATAATGTGTAGGTAGACTAAAAGACCGGGAGATTAAGGTTGCCGAAGCACCCCTCTCTTGCGGAGCCTGATCTATTCTTTCCAACGTTTGATTTGCCAAAAGGGGGAGGGGTGATGCTTATCCACCAAAGACAAATTAATAGCTTTACATCTCCTAATCCTACTGGTGTAATAGGGCTCGCTCTGATATAGCCCATAAGTTAGAAAGTCTTTTTTTTGTGATTCGAGAATTGTCATGTGGGAACAATATAACAATGTTGCAAATCTAAGATGGGGTGCAATCTATTAAGATTACAGTATGTATATAGAGAGATTTATATGTCTAATACCAGGGTGTCCATCTTTTTTTGCAGTGCGCCACTTCAATGGAAATGTATGTGTATGTGGGCCACACTCATCAGAAAATCACACACAGGTACAGACATGCAGGTGTACATACTGACACCCATACAGACAAACACATACTGATATACATACAGACACAAACTAGCACACCTAGATACACACTGACACACCTGCAGATACAAGGGCACACACTGACACACATGGATACACACACTGACAAACCTGCAGATACAAAGATTGTACACACACCGGCACACATACAGACATAAATACAAACACACATACAGACAAACATGCAAAATGTACTTGTACGGCCCCTCAAGATATAGTGACACCACGTGGCAATGGGCCTTCTTTTCGAGCTGCACCTAGAGGTCCAGCGGACCTCATGTTGGATGTCTAGGGTCTAATATATAAGAAGTGACTTAATGACTGATAGGAAAGCTGTCCGTAAATTAATTCTTAGGTTTTGATGTTCAGCTCCATACTTGGGTGTTACGAGAGTGCCCTCTAGTGACCATAATAGAAACTACTCTCTACACATGGACATCACTGATACATTGTTCCCAGTCCCCGGTTTGCAACATTGTTATATAATTTATTACTTTGTCTCTTTTTGAATCACTTATGTGTAGAAAAGGCAGACCTTGTTTGGTATTATCTGACATATTAGAGTGATATTTGTGAAGTGCACTAATAATGCCAAACATTTTAATGGGATTACATTTTGTTCTCGATAAAGTTATTTTATTATATCACAACAAGGCAGTAAAGCTACAACCCTATAGAATAAGTGGCTGTGTAGCACCTCCTGGGCACAACAGAACACGACTACTTGAGTGCACTCTGCTTTGTGTAATGAGTCAATTTCGGGTTGTCAGCGGCACATAGCATGCTTTTATGATTGGCACTTTTTTTTTTTTTATTAAAGCTAAATTATTTTTTTTATTTCCCATATATATTTTTATTTTTACTTCTTCTTCTAGACTATATGGACTCTGACATAAATCCAAGTCAGAGGAATGAAAAACGTGAAAAGTCTCTTGCCAAAAGAAAACGTCAAAAACCACATTCAAGCGACAAGATGCATCCGTGTGAAGTGTGCGGCAAGAGATTTACCAACAACTCTCACCTTGCAAGACACTTTAAAGTCCACACGGGCGAGAAACCATTTCCTTGTGGTGTATGTGGGAAGATGTTTGCACGAAAGTCCCACGTTGCAGATCACCAGCGGATCCATACTGGAGAAAGGCCGTACACCTGCTTGGAATGTGGGCGTAAATTCACGAACAATTCCCACCTAGTTCTACACCGAGTGGTACACACTGGAGAAAAGCCATTTACATGTCCGGAATGTGGCAAGGGCTTCACACGTAACTCCAGTCTGATAAAGCATTCCGGAATCCATGCAGAAGAGAAGCCACACGTTTGTAGAGAATGTGGTAAAAGCTACTGTCAGTACGCCAACCTGGTTGTCCACCAACGTTTGCACTCAGGGGAGAAGCCTTATGCATGTAAGCATTGTGGGAGGGGGTTTATTTGTAAAGCTAGCATGGTGAGACACCAAAGGACTCATACCGGAGAGAAGCCATATTCCTGTGCTCAGTGCAGCAAGTCTTTCACCGATAACTCTTCTCTCATCAAACACAAACGGGTCCATGTTAAAGAACTTTTAGGTTCTTAGCAGGAACATGGTGGAAAAACTTCTGTATATGGATCGTTGGAAGATGACTATTTGAGATATACACAGATCAGTCTCTGACCGTTTTCTGCACTTGTATGTAACTGAAACAGGTCGTCCTCTTTTCCCACATACTTGCCTTAGTATGCTTTATATGACAGGGTCTCCAGCCCATGTCTGGTATCTCGTCCTGGCTGGGTCGATGACCAATAGATGGCAGGATCCTAGACCAGGCCTAGCGCCGTTATGCTTATGCCTTTTTTTTTTTTTTATATATATTTTGTTACATCTTGATCAAACTTGAAGTAGAGATGCTGACAGAACCCAGTATAAGGACAAGCATCATACATTAAATATGTGGCAGGGGTTTGAGAAGAGATACCATGTTTGGAAATGTCACACCATAAACGAGCCTGTCCATGGCATTTTAGTCAAGTAGGAAAATACAAGCTATTTAGGTACCCATTTTCTTCATGGTTTGGATCATTTAGACAAGTAGTGGGGGGTTGTTTGTTTAGAATTGAGATAAAAATGAAAAAAGGCTCCAAGGGTGGGCTATTGTAGCACATCAGATAATGTAACCTAAACTGGTCACAGACAACATGGACAGGAAACACTGACAGGAGCTTAAGCAGAGAAACTCTGTTCATAATGTATTTATGGCTCCCAACTGGAACTAAACCAATAATGTTTACAATGAATAAAGAAATATTCATGTCATGACTCTGTGTCTGTAACATGTCAAAAAAAATTCCTCATAGTTGCTGGTTTGTGTAAAAGGAAATTCCTGACCTTTACATGGCCATTAGACAGTTTGTGTCTTTTAGCCAAATGCGGTCCTACAGGTCAATCACGATGATGGACCATGCTATCAGCAGTGTCCGGTCAATCATGATGGCTGCACAAATTGTACTTTATTAACCTAGGAAAACAAGGAAGTCCCTCGGTGTCTGAGATTAACCCCTTAAGGATACATGACATGTGTGACATGTCATGATTCCCTTTTATTCCAGAAGTTTGGTCCTTAAGGGGTTAAACTACAACCTTCACTAAAATCTTTAACATTTTTAACACATGGATTTGAATACTGCCTGTCCGTCATAGTCCCTTACTCTCTGACTCTGTCTGTATGTAGAGCATGCAGACTTGCTGTATGATGTTCTGACATATTCCATAGTGCTGTACAAGTAATTGTAATTAACATGAGGAAGAAGAGTAGAAGTTGGTGACTTGGCTAAGAGTAGAAGGCAGAGGGAGGATGTGACAGGGGGAAAAGTTACAAATAAAGCTACACTATTGCATGCATAGAAATGATAAAATATATACACAGTTTATTCCAGTTTGTTGGATTTCCTACCCCCTGTGGTTTGGGCACAGAGACTACGGTCCCATCTGCACCAGTGTGAGGTTTATCTTCCCTTGGTGGGCTAGGCTGCCGCTGCTCCTCTTCCTGACACACTTTCTGCTGGTGGAGAGGTGAAACGACTGTCTCCCCTTTCAATATATTGTCCCGCTGCTGGGGAGCGAGACAGACTGTCTCTGCTCCCTCCCGGACACACTGCTGCTGGGGAGGCAACTTCAGCTCCCTGGGATACGTACTGCCACTGGGGATCCTCGCAGGACCAGTCTAGGAGGTCCGCTACCTCGGGTGCTGTTGGAGAAGAGGACCGGTTGTCTCTTCCCGGGCCTCATTGATGAGTCGCAGGTAATCCCACTCCAGGTCACATTCTTTGGCGACCAGATACCGTAGGTCTGCCTTGAGATCAACAGCGCTAGGGAGACCCAGCATGTCTTCTCGGTTGTAACACAGGTCCCAACAACGAGAGTTGGTAGCTTTTTCAAAGTCGTCATCATCAATATATCCCAAAATAGGCCATCTGGGAACTCATACTCTGCCATCTCGGGGACACACTGAGCTGCGTACCACTGTATCGCCTGGTATGCATCGTCGAGCGCCATTTCTGCATATACTAGAATCTCGAGTCTAGTCACCCACGCTTCTTCGGTCTGTTTTCTCAGGAGGGGCATCCGCTCTGCTATTCGAGCCAGGATTCGCTGCTTTCTGCTGCGGCGCCGATCCCCTCGCCAATACTGTACTTTCTCTAGGGCTTCGTCCCACAGCCCGGCTCTGGCAATCTCTCTGTATCTCAACATGTCCTCCTCTGATACTGCTCCCGACCCCAGGGATACGTAACCGTACAGTCTATCTTGAAACTTCTCCATTTTCCGAGTTCGTTTGTAGATAGGGGCACTTTACGGATACTAGCGTTACCCTCAATTTATAAATCCACGGACTGGTGATGATTCCGCCGCTTGCCACCAATGTAACAGATCACCTGGCACCCCGACTGGGTACCTCCGTTGAAGGATGCTCCTAGCACTTACTGAGGACTCCAAGCACTGCAACAGACACCATAACCACTATAGACTCCTCCAGAGAGCAAGGCAGGAACAAGCTCTTACAAGAGCTTAGTGATTAAGCAAGGGAGTATGACATGCATAGCAATCCCTTGTAGCAGATTCCCCCAATAAGAGACGGCACTCCAAATTGAGGGTGAAGTAGAACTCATTTACTGGGGCTACCTGCCCGGCATTTATGCAGGTCTCCCACCTGGTGGACACTCCCCTAGGGAACCAGATGGAACACTGGGAAACTTATTGGACATTGACCAATCACAAGTTTACAATCCCACAATGCATCACAATCCCTCCTCTCTGTCCTGGAGATAATTGGGAAGTAATCCAATTATCTCCAAGGACAGAGGCAAAACTCCATTAACCACATGGCAGACAAAGGACAATAAAATACATACTGTTACATTTATCACATAGAACATACACATTCTACATATCCCCAGATAGCTCAGATCTGAGCGCACATTATTACCGGATGGCGCTCCGATCACATACATACAGTTCAATCGCCATGGAGCCAAAGTCTTTCCCATAGTCTTTCTGTATACGAATGGGCTCCATGGCTTAGCTATCTGGCGTAACATTGCTCACATAGGAAAAATAAAATGTTTGTAATGCAGGGCCATAGTCCAGCGGCAAGAGGTGGGCAACCAGGCTCCTCCAGTGGCGAGGTTGGTTCTGCCACAGTTGCCATAGCCTGTCCCTGCCGTGTTTACATTGCTGCCTAATAGCACCTCTAGTGACCGTCACTAAGACTGCATTGGAGGCACTTCCTGGGTCAGTGCGGTGTTCAGGTTCTCCACGCACTGCATGGAGGTACTGAATGTTCCCCATACTTTCCGATGTTCAGCTCCATACTTTATTACAGTGATTCCCAACCTTTTTTCACTTGAGTACCCCCTTGGCAGCCCATTTCCATAAATTGTACCCCTCACATTAGCAAAATGTTCTAATTAATATAGTTGCATTTATTTCAAATTTAAACATTTTTCTCTGTCCAATCTCCCCATTTTTTTCTGCCCCAGGCTCTCCCTGCTTCTCCTCTGCCCCAGGCTCTCCCTGCTTCTCCTCTGCCCCAGGCTATCCCTGCTTCTCCTCTGCCCCAGGCTATCCCTGCTTCTGCTCTGCCCCAGACACACAGAAACAAACACTGACACACAGATACAGATGCACAGAAACAAGGAGTTAGACAATATAAATCACTGACACACATGCATGTACGCAGATACACACATACAGGTACACAGATACAGACACATACTAACAAACATGCAGATACAGACACATATACACATGCAGTGACAGACTGATACTGACACACATACAGATAAAGATACCCACACTGATACAGTGACACACAGGCAAATACAAACCCTGATCCAGATAAATACCCTGACACACATGCAGATACACTGTCATACAGATACACAGACACATATAAACATACCCTGACACACACTCATTGAAACCCACAGATACACAATGACACACATACAAATATACCCACACTGACATACAGATACGGACAGTGACACACAGATACATTGACACACAGGCAGATACAGTCACTGATACAAATACATACCCTGACACACATGCAGATCCATACACTGACACACATACAGATACACTGTCATACACACACACACACTCTCTCTGACACAGATACACACACATACTGACAAACATGCAGATACCGACACAGGCAGATAAATCGAAATAAGTCACTGACATACATGCATATACACAAACACAGGTACACAGATGCATACCCTGACATACTTAAGGATACACACCCTGTGACTGACCACCTGGCACCCCGACCAGCTGCCTCCGTCAGTCGATGCTTCCTAGCTGACGCTAAGGACCATAAGCACCGTAGACCCCCACGAACCGCCGCAGCTTGGTTGAGGTTCCAGGGATTCAAGGGGAAGGCCTCTCCTCCAAGAGAGTAAGAGCTAGTGGTATAGCAGGTTCCCTACAATCACGAGACCAGGCTACGTGTTGAGGGTTAAGCAGGAATGAATTTTAATGGTGCCACACTGGCCTTTTATGAACGTCCCCATGCAAGGGGTATTCCCACATGGACCCCGCTGGAGACTCCAACACAAAGACACAGACCAGAAAGCACAGTGATTAAATGCACGACACTCCCACATACAATACAATAAGCCTTCCCCTATTACTTAGGAGATAATTGAGTCAAGCACTATACTAAACTCCATTCTCTCCAAACACAAGACACATTTTTACAAAGCCCCCAAAAAAACCTTAAAACACATAAAATCCCCATAAACATCCCTTGATAGCCCTGATCTGGGTGACCATATCTGAAAATCACCCAGATCAGTTCAGGGGTTCAGAAATTTTATGGAAGTCATAGTTTTTACCAACCGCAGGCATGGTGCCATAGCCAAAAATAGTTACACAGAATCGGGGCTAAGTGCCGCTGGAGGACCGAAGGGGAACTGCGAAGTTTTCATGCCGAAAATAGTTCTAGGGCATACGCAGCTAAATCCCCCTGTCTATTCACGGTTTTCGTCCATGCAAACAAGATGGCCACCACCTCGTGGACGTCCATAGGAATTGCGGCCACCCAGACAAACAATTAGAACACTGCGGTGGAAATTTCAACAATGTATCAATCAAGCTTAACAAGCTCCAGGGTGGTCTCCGGTTCGTGCGCCTGTTCGGTAAACTAACCATATAGTCCCAATTGCACGAACAGAGCCTGTAATAAGTCTAAGAGGCACAATCAGAGTCTTTAACCCAATAGTCCCAGGGCAAGAGGCTGGCAAGTATGCCCCTCCAAGAACCCGTGATGAGGTCCAGTTCGTCACGCACCCTGACATACCTGCCAATACACAGACACACAGATACATACACTAACACACTTGTGGATACATACCCTGACACACAGATACATACATTAACACACAGACACATATTCTGATTAGGGATCGACCGATCTTGATTTTTGATAGCCGATACCATGAACTTTCAAGCTGATAGCCAGTAAATAACAGATTCTGTACATTTACCGTTTTGAAAAAAGAAACAAATTCAGTTAACAGATTCGTGTAGAAATTATTTAATTAAAAAAAATAATTTGCAAAAAAATAAAAAAAATTCAGTGGTAAATGCACAAAATATACATGCCAGTCAGATGTTTTTATGTTTTCAAGAATATTTAGTGTTCCTTAGTGTTCCTCTCTCCTCCCTTCCCTGTCCCTTGCTGTTCCTCTCCCCTCCCTGTACCTTCGTGTTCCTCTCTCCTCCCTTTCCTGCCCCTTGCTGTTCCTCTCCCTCCCTCCCCTATCTGTCCCTTAGTGGTCCTCTTCTCTCCCCTCCCCACCCTTAGTAGTCCTCTCCATTCCCTGGTGTGTCTCATTACCTCTCTTGTAGCATGGCCAAGCAGAATGGACCGCGGAACAGAAGCTTCAGTTTCCTGTACCCGGCCAGACTGACAGGAAGTGCTCGCTGACAGAGCACTTCCTGTCAGTCCAGCCGGGTACAGGAAACTGAAGCTCCTGTACCATGGTCCATTCTACACTGAATGACCGCCGGTCACTCAATTGTTGCGCCCCCATAGTATGTGCGTCCTTAGGCGGCCGCCTGTGCCGCCTTATGGAAGCGCCTGCCCTGCGTGTGCTGGGCCAACGCCACCGCACCCAATATCAGCAATATTGATATTAATAGTGGCTGATATTTGCCAAAATCCAGAATATTGGCTGAACCGATAATCGGTCGATCCCTAATCCTGACACAAAGCTACACACCCTGACACACAGTTACATACTGTGACACACATGCAGATACACAGACATCTAGGTATATATCCTGATACAAAGCTACACTGACACACATGCAAATACACCAGGGTGTAGCGGAGTAGTAGTATTATCCATGGTATCTCCGCTGGTAGACAGAATCAAACAGGCACAAAGCAGGTAAAATCCAGGTAGCGTAGTTACAATCCCTTCCTCCCAAGAACTAGACGACACATAGCTTGGAGGTCAACTGAGGTTTATTTTCAGGTCACGGTATTTATGGGATTCCCCATGCAAGGGGTTTCCCTACTGACATTTCAGGGGTTGTACAGTAGGGAACTAACCAACACACACAATTTTCCTATCATACATTTCTGGACGAGAGGGATACTCCCACTAGAATATACCGTTAATGGGATTATCCCTCCGTGCAGCAGAACTCACTTTTTACATTAAAATACATAACTTTAACAATATTCACTAGTTTTACACGAATGGACGTTCGGTAGATAGCCGGAGGCTGAGCGCATAGTTCGTGAGAATACCGCTCAGCTCCCAGTCTAACTAACCGAACGCCGTACAAAATACACATAATTTCCAACATAGGTTTTAAAATACCGATTATCGTAAGGGGAATAAACTACCGAACGGCCTGGAAGTTCAGCGGTGTTCGTGCCGTCGAGTAGCCATTTTTAGTTCCAGGCGCTCGACGACAAAACACCGTTGGGCTAACAAAAGAAACAAGATGGCCGACCGCCGCGTGGTCGGTATTCGAACGACTGCCACCTAGAAACACTCTTAATTGTTGCAATCGGTTAATGGGTGCCACACGACCCCCTGTGTGTGGTCGTGCGTTCGGTAGGTTATTCGTTTCACGAACAGTGTTTAACTCACTGTGAAGGACTTTTATGCAATTGCCTATATGCTTCAGTTTAATTCTCAACCTGCTATTTTAATGTCTATATTGTTCGGTTCCAAATGTTGAGAATGAATGTATTCATGTACCGAACGGGGACCACACACCCTGGGTAGCAAGTAGCAATTAGAACACAGAGAAAACCGCAACTTAATTGCTACTAAGTGGCCGCCATTCGACATACGAACACGTGGCGAGAACAAAGGATGGCGGCCATCTTAAAACTCACGACTGCGGTCAGCGGGGCTTACGCATGAATTGCATGGAACTGTTTTCGGTACGGGAAATATGCGAACGCCCGGTCCCCCATGGAAGTCCTGGATGACTACGTTCCCCTGCACGAATCAAACTGGCATTCGGTAGATGGTATCTACCGAATGAGGGGAACATTCACAGGTAACCAGCTGAACCATACGAACGGTAGTTTTCGTGTAGTTAGATGCGAACGGAGACCGGCTCTTGCTACTGATTCTATGGAACT